GGGAGGGTGTCCCTCCTTGGGTGGTACCCAGAGCTCTCCTCTGGGGCTGTGAGGAAGGAGGGGCAGAACGAGCAGGGCCAGCCATCCTCTGGGTGCCAGCAGACCCTTTTCCTCAGGAGGGGCCAGATGGGAAGCTGAAGGGGTGACGGTCCCGTGACGTCCTGCTGAGGCCACCTGCAGGAGGCCAAGGAAGTTTCGGTGCGGCCCTTGGTCCTGACTGACATTCTGCAGTAATCCAGACACTGAAAGGGAACGAGCTTTTCAGAACTAGAGGAGTAAAGGTCCACTAAGATCGCCCCTCAGCAGCCTGAGCCCCCCTGACTCCCCATAACCGGCCCCTCAGGCCACGGAGCTCCGATGAGGCCGGCGGCCCATCTCCCGGCTTATGGACCTAGAGAAGTGGTCTCCCAGGCACCATGTTCCCACCCAAGTCAGAATCCGGCATACACACACATTCCACCACTGCCGGGAGGCCCCCCGGGGAGGCTGGAGCCACGGGTGACTTCAGGCCTAAGCCCGGCAAGGACCCTCCCAGGTCAGTGGCCTGCCCGCCAGAATTCCCCCCGGAGGAGGTATGGAAGGCACCAGGGATTCCATCAAGCATCCTAGAGCTTCAGCATCAGAGGGGCCCTCAGAGACCCAGAGACCCGGTGGTGACACCGAGGCCCAGATCTGGGAGAGAACTTGGCGCGAGAATCCAAAGTCAGCTCACTCATGGGCCTCCTGCTCTCCCTGCCTGCCTCTCCATACCTATGGATTCGCTCCCTGATCCCACAGGTTCCTCCACACCGATATGATCCAACCCTACCGGCCACCACCTGTGGCCCAGACCTGAGCCTCGAGAATGCAAAAGGGGGATCCCTCGGTTGTGATCCCCTTACAAGAAGAAAGGCCGTGCGGCCCGCTGTGTCCCCTGCCACAGCCAAGGCCTGGCCTTGAGTAGACACATGACATAGAGGTCAAGAGAGCTCAGAGTTGGGTGCCAGTCATGGCCCCACCACCAGCTGGGTGACCTTGAGCAAGCACTTTCCCTCCTCATCTGTAAAATGGGGTAATAATGCAGGGCGCCTGGGTGGCTCAGTCGGTTGAGCATCAGACTTCGGCTCAGGTCATGATCTCGCGGTTGACGAATTCGAGCCCCACGTGCTGACAGCTCAGAGCCTGGAGCCTGCTTCGGATTCTGTGTCTCCTTCTCTCTCTCTGCCCCACCCCTGCTCACGCTCTGTCTCTCACTGTCTCAAAAATAAATATAAACGTTAAAAAAGTTATTTTAAAAAATGGGGTGACAATGGGACAGCACACAGTAAACACTGTGTCACTTTTTTTTGCTTAATGTTTATTTATTTTGAGAGCGAGCAAGAGAGAGAGAGAGAGAGAGAGAGAGAGAGAGGGAGTACGCACGGGCAAGCAGAGGAAGGGCAGAGAGAGAGGGAGAAAAAGAATCCCAAGCAGGCTCTGCACTGTCAGCGCAGAACTTGACCCGGGCTTGATCTCACGAACCAAGAGATCGTGACCTGAGCCGAGATCAAGAGTTGGAGGCTTAACCCACTGAGCCACCCAGGCGCCTCTCACTGTTATTACTTTTAATTCACTTATAATCTTGTTGAAGAGTCAAGATGTATAAATAGGAAGTCATTAAATAGGAGGAGGAGGCATCTTTGAATCAGAGCTAAACTGGAGTGGAGATAGAAAAGCATAACAAGGATTAGAGCAGGGAAAATTCTAGGTGGCCTATAGTTTTTCAGCAGGGATTCTTAGAAAACTAATGCTGATGTCTAACATTTACATGGGAATTACTACGCTCCAAGCACTCATCCAACCTTGACAACCACCCCGGGAGGCCAGTCGACCCATTTTCCAGATGAGAAAACCACGTCACACAGTCTCACCCAAGGGGACACACTTGGAAACTGGCATGAGAAGCGGGACCGCGCCCCAGAGTTTCCGCGCGCGACCAATGTGCCAATGGAAGCATTTTCCACTTGGGCTGTGAAGCCTGAGTGGGGCTAGGAAGGCCAGGAGGAAGAGGTTTCTCCAAGAGAGGCCAGGCCGCCAGTGCAGGCAAAGTGGGGCTGAGCGGGCACAGGTAGGAAGAGTGAGGACATCTGCCCATCTTGAGTCATAGCACAGCCCTCAGACATCACAGTGTCCGATCGCTCATCACCTGAGAAACTGAGGCCCAGAGAAGGGAGGGCTCGGCGCAGGTCACGGGAGAGACTAAGGCTGGGCTGCAGCTAGAAGCCAGGGGCTGCTCGCGACGCGGGGCTGCACTCGCTCAGCTGCACGCGGGACGTTAGGCAGGCTCAGGGTGCGAAGCCTGCCGCTGTCCCGTTAGCCAGGTCCCTGCCCCGCCCCGGCCTCCATGCCCCGCTCTGCCCACTGGAGCATGAACGCCCACCCCACAAACCACCCCCCCAGGGATGCTGGGACGACCACATGGGGAAGGGACGGGCGGATGCCTGGTGGTGTGACCGCGCACCTTGGCTCCACAGGTTGTTGCTCTCGCAGCCATGACTCTGCCCCACAGCCCCGGAAATGTGGGGGAGCCCCGGCCCCCCCAGGCCGTGGAGGTCGTCCACCGGCTGGAGCACCGCCAGGAGGAGGCGCACAAGGAGGAGCGGCAGCACCACCTACACATGGGTTCCTCAGTGCGGAGGAGAACCTTCCGCACCAGGTGGGATCATCAGGGACCCCACCCCAGCCATTGCCCTACCCGCTAGGGGTCCCCAGTCTGAGGGGGGGACACAGCCCTGCTTTATGGAGATGCCAGTCTGAGGGGGTAGGTACAGCCCTGCCTTTTGGAGATCCCAGTCTGAGGGGGGAGGCACAGCCCCTGCTTTATGCAGATCCCAGTCTGAGGGGGGAGGTACAGCCCCTGCTTTATGGAGATCCCAGTCTGAGGGGAGAGGCACAGCCCTGCTTTATGGAGATGCCAGTCTGAGGGGGGAGATACAGCCCTGCTTTATGGAGATGCCAGTCTGAGGGGGGAGGTAC